TTGTTGCGCAGCGCCCGCGGCAGCCCCGCCGGCCCCGCCGCGCCCTCCCGCACCGCCGCGAACCGCGTCCCGCACCCCTCCGCCGCCATCGCCATCGCCGGCCGCAGCCCCTGCTTTCGGTTTCATTTCCCCGCCGCCCGGCCCGGCCCGGCCTCCCGGGGAGGAGCTGCGCGCAGCCCCCCCAGCACCGACAGCTGGAGCCGGGGCCGCCCTTGCAATGAGTGGCAATGCTGCGTCTGACTGAGGCAGGGCTCCAGGGGTGGGTTTGGTTTTGCTGCTTTAATGGGATAGGCCTCATGTGCATTTGCCTTCCTGATGCGAAGTCATGCGTGGCTTTACAGCATGCGACCAAGTCCTCCCCGGGGAGTGAGCCTGGTGCCTGGCCGCTTGGAAAAGCCTCCGGGCGGTGTTAAAACGCAGCAGCCCCTTGGCGAGCGGGAAGGGCTGGGGTGGGGCGAGGCACTGTGGGAGCCAGCGAGTCCCGCCCAGGGTGCCGCAGCGCCCCAGGGTGCCTCCAGCATCTTTCCGTAACAAACCCTCCACGCCAGGATGAGCTCCTTGATGGGGCTGGAGGTGCCCGAAGAGTCCAGGCCTCGAGCCGCAGACTCATGCGCAGACGTTGCAGGCCGAGACAAGCAGAAGGCCGAGATACCGAGTGCTTCAAGATGCCTGGGGCAAGCAGATAAAAATAATGGAGATTGTTTTTCTGCAAGGGAAAGTAGGCAAGAGGCCAGGATTCCTTTCCTGCTTCTTCCTCCGCGCTCTCTTCTCCGCTTCGAGGGGGAGATGCTTTGCCCCGAAATGGGCAGTCGCTTGGGTGAGGTCGTGGTGCTGTCGGAGTTGGTTGGCAGCCAGCTCCTCCTGCCTCTTGATGGCATCTGTTTTCATTTCCGGACTGCAGACAATGCAGGGAAGGGGGGCAGGCGGGGCCACATGCGCTCAATGCCAACCCATCCTCCCGCTCCAGCTTCTTGCTTTCCCAGGCATGTATGGAAAAGCCACTCAAGAGGCTCCTTGGCACCCCTTGTCTTGAGGTATGCCTCCAACATGTCCTTGTATTGTTTCCTCTGGCCGCCACCAGCTCTCCGGCTGTTGCTAAGCTGGAAATAGAGCACTTGCTTTGGGAGTCAAGAGTTGGGCATCCACCCGCATGCAATATCTGGTCCAGGGAAGGTGACGCTTGTCACCGACAATCACTCAATGCTAGTAACATTGGCTTCAGCGAGGATGCTGGCATTTGTGCGGCCGTCTTCCCATTTGATGGGGAGGATTTTCTGGAGGTGTCATTTGTGATACCTCTCCAGGCTGCAGGGTGCCAAGCAACAGTAGCCCTGTTAGGAGGGCAAATGTGATTCCCAAGATAAACCCACAGGCCTCCATAGGGTTAAAAACATTCTGACCTGCCTGTCTCTCTCTCAGTCCTTTGCAACAGAAGAATTACTCTGTTATTTTTCTGTACTCCAACAAGGAGTGAAAACAAAGAGTTGACATTTTATGGGGGAGTTTCCAATCTATCTAAGGGCAACTTCAGTTAGAAAGGCTGAGAACTACTGAAATTCCCAGCTAACTTCCTCTTGCTACTGCAGCCGTATGTACGATGGTGCCAAAAGAGGCCTGACAGAAACAAGCCAGGCCAGTCCAGGAAAGTTCCCCGAGGAGAAATAGTGCACAAAGCACGCACAGGTCTTTGCAAAGACCAGAAGCATCACAGGGACACAGCTGGTGCTTCTGTAACCAGCCATTGTTATACTGTTCTTTTCAGTTCCTGCAATGGAAAACATCCGTGGGGAGGAGCCTTTCCGATGCACAGTCCTGAAAGTCACAGCTCTTCCTTCTCCCCGTGAGCAACATAGGAAGTGAGTGTTGTGATAAAGCTTTTTTAAACGACAGCGGGCAATTCTGGGCTTCCTACTAGAAACTCATTTCTTGGGAGAAGCGTGTGTCCTGGGTGAAACTATTAGAGGGGCAGGAACCCAGAATCTGAATAGCCACCACGGTAGTATAAACCCATTTTATCCCACCCTCAGTAAAGTGCCATCAGAGTCACCATGGCCCGCTCTAACCACTAGCCAGACTGCCTCTGCTCCATTAATCAGCTTATTTTTGAGAAAAGAATATAAAGATCTTTCAGTCTTTCCCCCCATGCAGAACTGCAAATCAAGAGACTAATTAAATCATAAGAGAAACAGATGCATGGGGCCACAATGCCAGGTAGAGGTAAGTGGTGGGATAGATGTTGGAAGGAGATTTTATAGGATGGGATTTCCTGAGGGATAGCAGAAAGTAGCAGTGGAAATAGGAATAAAGGTAAGGAGGAAAAAGAGAGACAAATAGGCTCAGTGCTCTTGGTGCAGCCAAATGTCACAAGTTGTTTTTGTGCTCTGGTCTGTTCAAAAGGGTTATTTCTTGAGATGCATAGAAAGAAAAATCAGCATTGCTTAGAAAACATAGAAGCTTGCAGAGAATCATTTAGCCCTGAGAAAAATAAGGAAGTCCCATTCTCCCTGCTAAATCTGATGTCCATCTTCTTGATGTAACAGCTACCAAAATTCATTGACAGAAAATGATTGATCTTCAGCAAAGCCTTCTCTTTGTAAAAGAGAACCGTTTACTTCAATAAGAAATCTGAAAACCTGCAGAAATTGAAAGCTCTGGCTTGTCCGAACCTTACCTTCTAGCTGCAGTCTCGGCAGCTTAGCGCTCCAGCCGCGCTGAAATTAAAGTTTTACTGTTCATGATAATGACAATCCAGAGGACTGGAAGTCCAAATAAAAAGTCAATCCTCTTGGCTCTCCTCCCATTTCACACACTTTGAAGTGGAGAACGCTACCTCCCAGTTCATTGTGCTAAGACTGCACATGCTAGACATTAGTTCTGAGGAGCTAATGCTGTATTCATTCATACCCTGATTTGCTTTACAGTAATTTCCCTCTGTAGACAAGCCATTCTGGTACTTTTACACTGCAATCCAAAAGACAGCTTGTGTAGACATATCTGAATTGGCTTTAAACTGGACAGTTCAAGTACTAATTGCAACTGCCTAGAACTCAGTGGGCGCATCTACATGAGACGTTTACTGTGGAGTTGCCTAATTAGCTCTGCAGTAAAGTCACTGTATCTACACATGTGCCCATTAGGCTGCAGTAAACTAATTAACTCTGCCATAGGTTAGTACTTGAATACACAAGTAGTATCCGACGGAGGTGTTTTTTAGTGCACAGCAATGCACGTGTAGATGCTGACAGGGCTGGCTGGGACAGGAGGGGGTTTCAGCATGGGGGTTGCCTGCCCCGCATCCTCATGCCTTAGCCAGTCCCTCTGCAGCACGTTGAGCTGGGCTGGAGCAGCTCTGGGCTAGCAGGCTGAGCCCCTGGGTCCCCTGCCAGCCAGGACTGCTGTGCCCTCCACATTTGCACGGCTCAACATATAAACATGGCACGCAGGAGCAATAAACTCCTGAAAGACATGAGCTGGAGTTTATTGCATTGCATTAATTGCACCTGTAGCTGTGCCCAATGTGGACCTACACACCGCAGTCTTAAGGTAGGTTCCAGGTGAGTTTTGCAGTCTGCCCTGTGCTCCTGGCTGTTGTGGCTACTTGTTGATACTTGAGCTAGTTAATTGAAAGCTGGCTGGAGGAGATCCATGCAAATTGCCCCCATACTGCTGAATTGCAGAGTAGGCATTTTAGGATGGACAAGGGTCACGAGGGGTCAGGAGGGCAGCGCATGCTGCACTTTTGGCCAAGCCCAGTAAAGCAGTGTGCAATTAAAATCAACTCTGTGGCTTTGGCCATCTCTAAAAGCACCTGGCAAGATCACAAACTTGAGAAGAAAGTTTTCATTTGAGGAAAACTCAACTGGCTTCAAAGCTTTTGTGCTCTCTGCAAACATTTGCCTTGTCAGTTTTGCAATTTGGAAAACTATCCGCGAGTTTGTAAGCTGGAGCAAGGAGGTTGGGAGACTAAAAAAATAGAAAAAACAGTAGTAGCATTTTAGTTGGAAAGGGAAGGGAAGAATAATTGGGGAGTTCATTATTATTGGTTATGTGTTATTTAATTTGCAATTGGTCTACAGGGAGCCATCGCAGACAAATGCCCCTTCAATAGGATATTGCTATGTCATGACACAATCCCAAGTCTACCCTGCCACCCAGCTCTCTTAGAAACACTGTTGGAATAGTCTCATCCCTCTCCCTGTTCATGCACTTTTCAGGACTATGCAGTGTGACAATCTGCAGCCAACATTCAGTAGAGGCCCAGTGCAGATAGTGACGTAGGAGAGGGTTTTCACAGCATTTGCCAGTTTCTTGCTGCCTTCTACTTGGGCATATAGAAAGAAGTATAAGCAACCTACAGGGGTATAGGTTGCAGCAATGTTGGTCTATGGACATAGGCAGACAAGATTCTTTTGGTAAATCAGATACATTTTATTAAACCAACTCAAATAGTTGGAAAAATTCTTCTTTGCAAGCTTTCAGGTACAAATACCCCGCGTCAGGCTAAGGAAGCGTCTGCAGCTGGTGTGTGCTCTTCCTGGATGGAAGGAATAGTAGAGGCCAAAGGCAGTCAGTGAAGATTTAAATTGAGGAATCAGTGGGTGAGAGAGAGGCTGGTGGGGAGAGGGAGACACACTGAAGATGTTTTAGATCAAAAGCGCACCACTGCCATTTTCTGTGCGCTGACACGCATTTCACTATTTATACAAATGCATGCAATGCAGAGCTGGGTGTGTCAGCTTGCGTGCTCCGCAGGCTATTAATTAAGTTTGCTCCAACGTGCTGGATTTCTGGCGCATTGGAGCAGACAGAGGTACGTGCATCAGGGCCCTAGAGAGTACTGAGAGTCAGCTAGCGTGTTATGTCCGAAGTGAGGCTGAGAGTGGAGCAGTTTCTTTTCTGTATCAAGTTGACTTCTCCCTGCAATAGTTTCATCCCATGCTCATTTCCTCCTGCTGCCTGTAAGGCACATGAACTCTTAAAAAAGAAACAGCAACAAACCGATATTTCAGTGTGGAAAAAAAAGAGTGGGAGTTTTTACTTTTAGCAGTGATACAGGACTTTCTAAGGACTTGTTTGGTGCGGGGAGTTTTGCAGTGTAGATTCACTACAGTGGTATGAATTGGGTAGGTGGTGGTATGACTTACCTGTGTTAACCTGGTGCACTGGCACAGCTGCACTGGATCAAAACTCCCCAATATCTTCAAGATAATATTTTTTCCAGAACTACACCACTATCTCGCTATAGCTATAACTCTTGCATTCTGGAATAAGTGTTGCTTCTGTAATAGCTTATGAAAAAAAGATGCATTAAAAAAATTACACAAAGGGCTCAATTCTACAAATTCAAAAAGACTACTGTGTGTTAGTTAAGCGTTTGTGCTGTTTGCTGTGGAGGAATGGAATCGTGGATATGCAACTGCTGGTATGTACAGTTCCAGTGTCATTTTGTTTTAAGTAGTAATCAGTGCAATATGGGACAGTGCTATGACAAAAATGCTTTTAAAAGCAAAACTCGATTTAAGACTTTACAGATTTGAAACGTATGGACACATTTTGAAATGTGATAAAGATGTATAAAAAGAAATACCAGCTACATCTGAACAAAAAACTGACAAAAATGCAACATACAGCAGCCATTTATTACAAAAAACCAAAAGTGCAACATTTTGCCATCATCATTCGAGATACAGCTAGAAAAGCCAATTAGAAATAAAAATCATTTTGGACATTTGCTCATTTAAAGGCTTGATAGGCATAGGCACAGTTGTTCTATGATTTATAGTAATATCAAACCCTACTGTAAAAACTTGGCAATTTATTACCAGTCTTGTGGCGTTATTAGCTCTGCATGTTCGTAATTCCACATAGGAAAGGCTAGCAGTTAAAATTTGACTGGGAACAGTGGAAAGCTGTTTTCATCAGGCTGACATGCAATCTAACTGAAGAGTATTTATCTGACATTCAGCTTAAAACTTCACACGGGGTACCTGTGTTACCAGTTTACAGAGACTGAAATTTTTAAGTAGTCCTTTTGTTGGCTAGTATAAAGTTTTGCTTCAGCAAAGGACACTCAAATGTAACGTAAAGCATTTCAAGTTATGATGTTCAATTCTTATACCATCCAACGTTGCATATTTGTTATTAGCCAGTAGTTTTTGAGGTAATCTTACCAAATAAAGAAGCTGCACATCCCACCTCCCCAACCCCTTCTTGTGCATAACCAAGAACATTTATCTGGTGAAAGTAATGAGATATTCTGGATAAGCTTGAATATCATTAAATATGATGAACATGGAAGGCTTGTTCGCGTTGTCCGTCAAACTGTCATACAGATCTGTAGGATCGGTGGGATTTTTTGCTGGTGGCGTGATATCTCCTCGTTTCCCATTGCAATATGCTCCGACAAGGACTCGAGCCAGGTACATATACTTTTTCCCATTTCCATCCGGTTTAGAGTAGGTGTCATGGGCCGAATAACTGGCATTGACAGCAAAGTAGGTTCCGTTACCGAAGTTTGCAGCTGTGATCAGAAACAAAGGTTTGAAGATTTTTTTCATGCGCAATCATCATCTCTTTCACTTTTCCATATACCCAAATGCCTGCAGCCTCTGTCCAACCTCATCAGCAATACAAATGGGTATTATAGACTGGAACGACGGCATTAGTTGTATGCCAGGTTGCCAATGAAAACTTTTTATCAATATCAAGCAGAATATTGAACCAAGTTATGACTTAGCAGGTTTCTCTCTCAAAGTGGAGCAGCTGCTGAAAGTTACTTTTTGCCTCGGTTTGGTCTACTCTGCATCCCTTTGTAATTATTGTGTTACCAAGGTTAGACTAGTAGTGGCACTGCTTCTTATCCTGCAATCCATTCTCTCTCTCAGATCTCTGGAGAAAATGGCTGAAACAAACAGTAACTCATCAGCAGAGATGGGTATAAATATGCCCCAAAGAGATCATTATTAATTATAAATTATTAGTTCCTTGTGGGCCTTTCATCAGAAAACTATTGCTCTGTCTAAGATACCAACAGAGTTATTGAATTATTCACCCTGACTCTGCTTGCTCAGAATAGAGGACCAATGCTTTTGCATTCAAGTAATACCAACTGCGTTGCCCAGAAAAAAAAAAAAGTTGAAAAAAAAGTTAAAAACCTAGCATGTCGACCTTCAAACTAAAAAAAAGTTTAGAAGAGGGAGAAATTCCAATTTGTAGTTTGAATTAAAACAGAAATGGAAGCCTTGAAATTAATGAAAAGTAAAAATGCTCCAACTAAGGCAGTGATTCTCAATCAGGGTACCACAGGTCGATTCACAGGATAAATCCAGAGACTTCAAATAGGAATCCATATAGTGTTAAAAACATTCTGATCGGTTGTGGGATTTGAGTTCTTTGTAATAGAAGAATTACTCCTATTATTTTCTGTGGTTAAAAGAGTGAAAGGCAAGGACTGACATTTTCCAAAGGGTGCCTTGAGTCTAAAACAGGTGCCTGTGAACCACGGAAGCAAGGAAAAGATTAAATACATTTGTTATACATTGGTCCTATCTACTGGATGGCACTGGGAACAGCAGAGAAACTGAACGAACAAAACACAGAGACCCCGCAATAGTTGTCTAACAATGTGTCCTGATATAGCCCACACAAATCTGAGGGTGCTGTGTAGACCTCAAGGGTTGACTAAGCTCAACACAAGCTGCACAATCCAAGACTGCCAGCTGCATCGGCCAGGCTACAGGGTCTCTCTCTCTCTCTCTCACACACACGCACACACCCCCACCCACCCACCCCGAGAGGGGTTAGACATTGTTTCAGGTAACTGAAAACTACCTTGAAGAATCTGGAATTTTAAAATCAGGTGATGCTCCATGATTCTCCTTTGTAAAGTCAAAGAGTTAACTTAACAAATCTCATAGGTATCTTTTCAACAACTGCTCTTGATGCTTTCAGTTAGCCCTTTTTAAATCAAACAGTAGAAATAACAGCTACAGTCATAGGGTTACTTTAAGAGCAAGCACAACTGGACTCCTTGGAAGCTTCCTAAAGTGTGATAAATGCATTAGAAATGCTGGAAGAAGCAGGGTTTGTTTGGCAATACCTTAATCAGACCAATTATTTACTTGGGAGAGATGTTAGATAAGCTTTTCTTGCAGAAGGTTATTTTATGCCCCAAAAGGAGAGCAGATATAACCTAAAGCTAAATACTAGGCAAAACAAGGATTTTTAACTCCATTATGTAAAAGGAAGGCAAAGGGGAAGAGGGTAGTAAGCACAAGGAGTTATCAGAAGTGGCTACAGAACAAGCAAAGGAGAGTTGAAACAGATCAAACTAATAATATAACAGCAAGATGGTTAAAAAAGGAGACGGGTCATTCTTACCTGTGGAGCACAGAGAGATCAGCAGTATGAGTGGCTAAATTATATGAGCCATAAAACTATTATCCGTGCTAAAGGGGAAGAGGGCGTGGACTTAAGCGATTGCTTTCATTTCCTCTTATGACCCATATCCGATGGGAGTGTGGGGCCAGAGGTAGCCAGGGTACTGGTCTGCAATGATACCCGTACACTCTGACAGTGGAGCTGCTACACCTGCACGCTAATACAAGGATATGGACATGGCAAAACTGCTCCAACTTGAACCCCGTTTCATTCAGCATTCCAGCGATACACCGTTGTAGCCGACTTGCGGTGCAAGCAGACATAACACTTAGCCTGTTCCCGGAACGTCACTGATTGGGAACTGGTTCATGTTTGTCCCTGGACAGAAGCGTCCACATGCACACTCCTAAAAGTGACAAGCAGAACATGTCACCTCTTACAGATCATGCTGCTGCCAAACCATCACCAGGGAGTTGCAGAGTATCCAGATCAGTGCTCAGAAATTCCCTAGGATTGCATTAGGACAAGGTCTGAAGACCTGGACTAGCCAGTCACCAAGAAAAAGACAGACATCATAGCCTAAAATTGCAATATTTGTTCCCACTTCCCAAAATGGACTGATTGAGTTTAATGAAGAACATAACTCCACTTTACAAAAAATCGATGTGGCGATACCCTGACTGAGGATGCACAAGTGGAGGTTGGGAGCATCCTGTACCCCAAGATGGGAAATGGACCCCACTCACTGGGATCCAAGTGGGAGCAGAGGGGTTGCCAGGTGCTGGGAGTGCTGTATGGCCCCCTAATTTGTGGTGACCAGGGTGCTGCGTGCTTTGCGGACACCTCATAAAAGTGTCTGCAGCTTTTCAACCCCCCCTGCTGGAAAGGGGCCTGTTAAATTTCAGCTCCCTGCTACAGCCCTTTGCTCCAGGGCTTGCAGGCTAATTTGGGGTAGGAGAAAGGGTGGAAGGGTTGTCAGGCGCTGAAGAGTGCTATGTGGCCCCTTACTTGTGGTGGCCTAGGCACTGGATGCTCTACTTCTCCACGTCCCCCCCCACCCCACAAGATCTCTATGGTTTTTCAACCCCAGCGCAGGGAAAACACATTCCAGGAAGTTAAAACCATTCTTACGTGGCATCAACAGCTAGACTCTTGGAGTTTAAAGTTAATTTACAGTGTTCTAAGTATTATGCCTGCCCACATCCTTACACTGCCAGAAACAGGCAGACCTAACAGCTGCACCATGAGAGCTGAAGCACCAACTCCTTCTCCTCTTTTCAAGCAGCTGAAAGTTATGCTTATCCACAGCAAAGTCTGATAATGAATCAGTATGTCACCTTCTAAGTTTATTCTTGACCCTGAAGTGCAACAGAGATGCATAAGCGGACACAGTAGCGTGGCCAAAACAGGGACCTGGGAGTCCAAACACCCAGGTTCCACTTTTAATTCTGCTGGCTCACTGGCAAGCCTCTGTTTGCTTTCTATGAAAGAGCAGTATGGTATTTTCTAGCTGCTGGAAATTGGGATGTGCATTATAAGTGAGGAAATACAATAACAGCAGCCTTTTCAATATAAGCTTCTGCCAGGTGAAAAGGGAAAGCACATGGGATCCACAGGAAGCAGAACAATCAGCAAGCCTGGCTCTCTAGCTGCTGCCACTCAGTTACTTGCTACAAGGAAAGATCTCTTCTTTATTCCACTTCTCAAGAACAAGGTCTGCATCTTACTCCAGGCTGTGTTGTATGTGAGAAAATACGGTACTTTCTTACTTTATGCCACGTTCAAGTTCTTTAAAATCTTCTAGTGCAGTGTTTCCTTACCTTTGGGGTTTTATACCCTATAGTCACTCATGCTCCTCAACTTCAGCTGCCAGTTACCAGCAATTCCCCAGCTGCTGCTCAATCTCTCTTCTGCCGCTGCCCATTCCCCTTGCTATTTTCATCTGCTGCACCCTCCCCTAGAAACCTTTTCCACTCCCTCCTCAGGGAGTGGGCCACACATTTTTGGGGAATGTTGCTCTAACGAAAGGAGCTATCAAATGGCTAACTTGATAAAACTTCAACCGTGACTGGAACCAAGAACACCTGCGGCACCTACAGAAAGGAGCCAATAATCACACAAGGCACAAGTATACAGTATACAGATATAGAGACGGATACACTCCATGCCTGTTCAAAACAAGTAGCTCTCAACACATTACCATTCATGCCAGCATAACTGCGATTAAATCCTTTGTAATTAATTATGGTGAGTGAGTTATTGACTGTTCCATGAAACAGAAGTCTTTCATTATTTGTGTTGCCATTTTTGGTATTCATCTCCTCCTTTTTTATCTGGTAGGCCTTCCAGTAGTATGGATTTTGTATCCTTTCAATCTACAGAGTTAGAAAAACAGGACACATTATCAATAATGACCAAAAGCAAAATCACAGAAGACTAATCTGAATTATCATAATGACCAGACTGGTAAAATGGTAATCTAGTGCAGTGGCTCTCAACCTTTTTAGATTCAAGTCGCCCCTCAAGATGCCAGCTCAGTTTTCACTCATTTTTTGATTAAAAAACCAACCAAACAAAAAAACCCTGCAGAGCACTTCTTCTGCAGCCAGCAACTCAGTCTACAATAGCTCAGAACATTTTTAACACTATGGTTTCCCATTAGAAATCTCTGGGTTTATCTTGTGAATCAGGTGTAGGGGTTTGCAGACCTAGAGCCCCTGGCAGGCATTCAGCTAAAAGCACGATGGGATCTGACCTGCAATCCCAACAATTGTGCCTTCTGCCATGATACACATGAATGGCAGGAGGTGCAGTTACAGGAAACTGTGCCAAATTGTCAGTGAAGGGGAGGCCAGGATCAAGATCTTAGGCTCCCTCTGTACTGGCACGTAGAAAGCCAGTCAGGCAACTGGTGCTTCCAGCCTCAGGAGTGCACTGGAGTCAAGGGCTCCAATGCACCCAAGGCTGGGAATCCCGACCAGCCGACTGCCACTCCAAGCCTCGGGGGCACAGCAGAACAAAGGGCTCTGTTGCACCCCTGAGGCTGGAAGCCCCGATCAGCTGATCACCCTGGCTGCACATTCAATTTAAGGTGAGATGGAAGCCAGCCACAGAAGTGATTACACTTATTAGCATCTTGATGTGTAATAACTTTGTGGTTTATTCCCAGTTTTATCGCATCATTAACTGAATGAATGTGGCCAGGTTACAACTTAAGACATGATTAGCTGGACAATCGCATCTTAAGCGTAATGCCTGCTAGGGGCCTAACAATGCAACCAGGTCACCATGGTTGAGAATCACTGATCCAGACTAACTTCAGTGAAGTCAAAGAAATTAGTCTAGATTGACTTGGTTGTAAGATCAGACTGGGCCTCAAAATATGATTGAAAAGATTTTAATTTCAGAACGGTCATAATAACTGGCTTCACGAATAACGTTTCAGTGGAGCCAAGCTGCTTTGTTCCTGTTGAGAAAGGAAGAAACGCAGGGGGGAGGAAAGGGAGTGCAAAATGACTTTTCTGCACCTAACAACATTTCTCATCCCCATAAATTCAATTGGACTTGCCCAAGAAGGCAGCCTCACTGGAAGGTGGCTCAGGGACAGTTTTCATAGATTTCATAGACATCAGGGCTGGAAGGGACCTCGGAAGATCATCGAGTCCAGCCCCCTGCCCAAAGGGCAGGAAGTCAGCTGGGGTCATAGGATCCCAGCAAGATAAGCATCCAGTTTCATCTTGAAGGTGTTCAATGAAGGCGCTTGAACCACCTCCGGTGGCAGGCTGTTCCAGACCTTGGGGGCTCGGACAGTAAAGAAGTTCTTCCTTATGTCCAGCCTGAAACGATCTTGAAGTAGTTTGTGACCATTCGACCTCGTCATCCCTTGGGGCGCTCTGGTGAACAAACGTTCCCCCAGATGCTGGTGGTCACCCCTGATAAACTTGTAGGTGGCCATCAGATCACCCCTGAGCCTGTGCTTTTTCAGGCTAAAGAGCCCCAGGGCTCTCAGCCTGTCATCGTAGGGTCTGCTTCCCTGACCTCTGATCATGCGCATGGCTCTTCTCTGGACTCTCTCAAGCTTCTCCACATCCTTTTTGAATTGTGGAGCCCAAAACTGGACACAGTACTCCAGCTGCGGCCTCACTAAGGCCGAGTACAAGGGGAGAATGACGTCCCGGGATTTGCTTGAGAAGCATCTATGGATGCAAGCCAGCGTTTTGGTCGCTT